AAAAAGGGGATAATAACACGGCTTAATTCTAAGGCTTGTTATGGAGATTGGATGGGCAAATGTTTGTAAAGCACTTGGAAGAGAGCCTGGCCTACAGATGGTGGTATATGAGTGTTTGTTATACAACAATAGTTACCATTTCTGGAGCACTTTGCTATCTGCCAGGCATAGAATGTGTTACTTCCAACCCCCTCTCAATCATGGGAGGCAGATATATCATTTACAGTGGTGTGTTAGAGCTTGCTTGTACTTTCTTATGAGAACCAAATATTTTATTTCGAGAAAGTTTGGAAGTCAGTAGGTACTAAAGTCAGAGCCATTATTAAAAGTTAAATTATTGGTGCTGCTGTGTGGCACAGCAGGTTAAACCACTGCCTGCAGTGCCAGCATCCCATATGGATGCCAGTTCGAGTCCTGGCTGCTCCCACTTCCCATCTAGCTCCCTGCTAATGTGCCTGGGAAAGCAGTGGAAGATAGCCTAAGTGTTTGGGACCCTGCCACCCACATGGGAGTCCTGGATGAAACTCCTGGATCCTGGTTTCGGCCTGGCCCAACCCTGGCTGATGCAGCCCTTTGGGGAGTGAACCAGTGGATGGAAGACCTCTCTCTGTCTCTGCCTCTGCCTCCCTATATGCCTTTCAAATAAATAAACAAATCTTTTTTAAAAGGTTAAATTATATTTATAATCAAACATATTAAAAATGAAGATAATAAATATTCAAATCTTATCACTTCCTAAGTATTTTACTACCATCTATGCCCAATCCTTTGCAGTATTTGCATGGTAGAAAAAAATGGTGTGAAATTGTGCCCTTCTCCCTAACTCTGCCTCTGGTGACGTCAGTAGCTGGCTTTGATATCTGCTGTGTGGAGCAGTGCTACCCTAGACATTGGCAGCCACTACAAATCCGGGTTTTTTTTTATTTGGCAAGTTGGTTGTTAAACACTTATCTGTATGCCTACTTTTAAGATGGTGAAATTGAGAAATTAAATGATTTTGCCCAAGGCCACACAGCTAAGAAGTGGTAATGTGGGAGGCAACCCTAGGATTTTGTTTGCTTGCTTGTGTTTAAAACAAAAGCTGTGTTTCCCAAGCCTCTGTGCTTGCTATTCAGCTACTCTCCCCTGAGCACAGGAACGTGCACACTGGATACACCTCGGACACAGAAACAGAAACAGGCGAGCTATCCCTTCCCTGGAGCTCCTGGGGCCTTAATGTGCACATCTAACCCCAGCACACCCATCCCGTGCACAGCTGTGAAAGTTCCTCTCCAGTCCCATTATTTTAATCCAGCCTAGGAATGCCTTTAGTCACTAATCTTTTTCTTTTTTTGAAGGTTTATTTATTTATTTGAAAGAGTTATACACAGAGAGAATAAGAGGAGAGAGAGAGAGAGAGAGAGGTCTTGCATCTGTTGGTTCACTCCCCAGATGGCTGCAATGGCCAGAGCTGCACCGATCCAAAGCAAGGAGCCAGGAGCTTCTCTCAGGTCTCCCACACGGGTGCAGGGGCCCAAGGACCTGGCCATCTTCTACTGCTTTCCCAGGCCACAGCAGAGAGCTGGATTGGAAGTGGAGCTGCCGGGACTTAGAACTGGTGCCCATATGGGATGCTGGCACTGCAGGCAGCGACTCTACCCACTCCGCCACAGCACAGGCCCCTGGTCACTTATCTTGATCATCCCATTGCTGTTTTGCCTGTGGTTCATTTTTGTCCATTATCCCTCATTCCCAGAACTTCCTTTCTGTTGTTCAGGGTTAAGATTAAACCCATTCTTTCCAACACCTGCCCTAGTTTCTATTTTCTGGGGTTGAGAAGGCTTGGAATAGTATTGAAGGTTTTCTAAATAACCAATTTCCTTAAACTTTTGATTAATGTAAATATGCATCCAGGAAACTACGCATATCAGAAGTGTCCCACTTACTCATTTCCACAAATTCAACAAACCCCCGTGACTGGCACCTTCCTTTCAGCAGCTTCTTCATCCTCTTGTCTAGTTTTTACTCTTCCAAGGGTAACCACGAATCTAATGTCTAAGTCTTGCAATTTTTTTCCTTTTAATTTTTATTTATTAGCAAGAGGGAGAGGGAGAGAGAGAGGGAGAGTGAGCTCCACCTGCTGTCTCAAATGCCCACCACGGGCAGGGCTGGGGCTGAAGCCGGGAGCCAGGAACCCAATCACTCGAACCACCACCACTGCCTCCAGGGTCAGGAGCTGGAGCCCTAGATCAAACTCAGGCGCTCTGATGTGGCAGGATACAGGCGTAACAGTCTTAACCACTACCCTTGCTGCGGGCACATCCAGGACTGTGTTGGGAGAACACTCTGTCCAGGATTATCTTCTCCTCCTTTTGGCATGGGCGTAGTGTCAGGACTCTTCTCTGGCCAACCCTCTTGACTTACTTCCTACTCCTGTGGAGCAATGACAAGAGACCTGAGTTCAGATTCCAGCACAACCCCTGAATAACCCCGTGGCCCTGGAAAGTCCACTTCTCTCTGAGCCTCAACAATCGAGTCTACAAAATATAAATGACACGATCTGTTTGCAGGGTTGCCATGAGGATCAACTGAAGTCTCAGCCTTAAACACCTTGTACAGTGTGCCTGCTGTGGAATCATGTACTAGCCAATTGTTACTGACTTGGCTTTGTGAAAGCACAATGCGAGGGTTTGTGTCTATTATTCTTAAATCTGGCCAAATGGAATGATCTGATTTTCTTATCTGCTCTTCCTCCCAGTCTTTGACATCTCAGTTAAGGCATCATTGCCATTTTCTAAAGATTTAGGTTCCACATATAGTTGTTTTTCTTGATTCCTATCTTTTTTACTCATCTAATTAACCAGTAGGTTTTGCTAACCCTAAAAGAAAACTCAGGCCACTAAATTTTCTCTTATTTCCTACTACCCTATTTTAAGCCAGCACTGTTGTTATGGAACATTCCAAAACCGCTTGGAGGAATTGCTATAGAATCCTGAAAACGGGGCCCACTTGCACAACACACAAGTCAATCACTCACTTGTGGAAGTGAATAGGTATTTATTGCAAAGCATAGAATAAAGAGCCAGGAAGCTATGGCTTAATTCCTAAGCCCCCTGAGGGTTTGGGGTAAAGGTTGTTATAGACTGAAGAGGAGTTGAGACATGCATGTTCATGTCTCATGTTCATATGCAGATCACTGCTTGGTCTGTAGCACTTGTGGCCCTCCTGATTGGTTGGTGATACCGTATTCTTTTGGGAATTTTGGTGGTAGCAGAGTGGGCTCCAATCAGTCAGGTGGTAGCCACCTACTTCTTTCTCAGGGCCTGGGGTTCCAGATGAGACTAAACATCAAGAAATTGCCTACAGGGGAGATAAATGACCTCATGAGTCTTATGTTCAGGGATCCTGTAGGTCTAGTTACACCACTCCAACAATTTAGTGGATCATTTTATTTTAAAATATTTATTATTTATCCCAAAGGTAGAGTCATGGAGAGAGATACTCCCCAAATGACTGCAAACGCCAGGCTGAAGCCAACAGCCAAGAACTCAATCCAGGTCTCTTACATGCGTGGCAGGGGCCCAAGCACTAAAGCCACCTTCTGCTGCTTTCCCAGGTGCATTATCAGGGAGCTGGATCAGAAGTGGAGCAGCTGGGACTCATAAGGTATGCTGGCATTGCAAGCAGTGACTTAACCTGCTGTGCCACAAAACTGGCCCCTAGTGAGTTAATTTTGTAAGAGGTTGATTTGCGATCATAAAAGCTGGGCAAGGAAACTTTAAGCTAAGGGAAGGCAGCTGGGAGACCATGGGAGACTGGGACTTAAATATCTCCAGGAGAGTGTGATGTAATGAGAACGGCCTCCATGTCTTAATGACTGCAGCTGTACCCTCACTACCCTGAACCGTTCCTGGCCCTTGGTAGGCTTTTGCCATCTTACAGATAAGGAACCAGATTCTGAGTGGTTAAACAACTTATAAAACTCAGTACATAAAAAATCAGACTCAAGGGGCCAGGGCTGTGGCATAGTCAGTAAAGCTGCCGCTTGCAGTGCCCGAATCCCACATGGGCATGGCTTCAAGTCCTGACTGCTCCACTATGGATCCATCTCCCTGCTAAGGTGGCTGGGTACAGCGGTGGAAGATGATGAAGATGGCCCAAGTGAAGTGACCCATGTGAGGGACCTGGAAGAAGTTTATGGCTCCTAGCTTCTGGCTTCGGCCTCGCCCAGCCCTGGCTGTTGCAACCACTTGGGAGTGAACCAGTGGATGGAAAACCTCCCCCAATCCCCGCCCCGATTCTGCCTTTCAAATAAAAAATAAAAATTTAAAAAGAAATCCAGATTCAAATCTGGAGTCCTCTAGAGCTTGATTGCTTATTCACTATGCTGGGGACCTTGGCTTATCCTAAATTTTTGGTGATACTATGAGAAATTCTCACGCAATTCCCCAACCTGAAAATTCTCCTTGTCCTCTTTAACTGAGAAGGACGTGCATGCAACCCTACACACAGCCTCCTAAGGCATGGAGTGCTGTGGCCTCGTCAGATCTCCTCTCTCCCTGGCTCCTTCTCCCCCACATTCCCGCTATTCCCGCTATCTGGAGCTTTCTCTTCCCGGCAGCCGCTCCCGCCTCTCTCAGAAACGCCCCGCCTCCTTTACCTGCTTTGAAGAACTTCTAATTCTTTAACTGTGCATTATAACAGGCAAGTATTGTATTCCAGCCGGCCCTACTCAACTTTTATCTTTATCGTCCAAAACTGTGGCCTGCCTGAATAGGTTCCAAATATTTACTGAATAAAATATCGCGAGGCAAGGATTCTTTTATCAATTCACAGATGAAAAGGCTGTGGCTCCTACAGGTGCGGTCACTCAGCGGCGGGGTGAAACCCGACACCTCCTCTCCACACACACCACACACAAACCCGCCCCAACCAATGGCTCTTACTGGCTCCACCCACTTCACCCTGCGCCGTCTCCGTGACTAGTTTGACCCCTGGGCGGCCGCCGTAGCGCGTCGCTTCGGTTGCCGTGGGAAACGACCCGGGACCTGGGAGGGAGTAAAGACGTTTCCCGCCGGCGGGAGCTGCCGCTGTGACTGAGAGGGGGTACCCCGAGCCGGCGGGGCCGATTGCTGTGGCACCATGGCGGACCAGCTGTATCTGGAAAATATAGACGAGTTCGTCACGGACCAGAACAAGATTGTGAGGAGCGAGGGCCTGGGGGAGCAGGCGTGCGACTGGGGTCCTGGGCCGAGCCAGGGCGGTGGGGGCCTGGACCCTCGTGCTTGTGGTCTCGTGGGGGACTGGCCGAGAGGGGGGACAGGTCCCCGTCACCGCGTGCTCCCGGGGCGAGCGAGGACTCGCCGGGGAGGTCTAATGGCGCGCGCGGCAGCGGGCGTTCCTCGGGTAGGCGTGTTGGGGGCTGCCCCGGGGAGAGGCCGCGGGGGTTGAGGGTCTGTCTAAGGCGTCCCTACGCCGGCTTGACCCGGCGGGTGGCGTTTCAAGCCCCAGGTTTGCCTCTGAGGAAAGTGTGCCTCAGCCGTGTTGAGGGACGGTCTGACCTCGGGTTTCCTCTTCCTGGAAATTGGAGTATTGACGGGGGCGTGACCCGCCTGGCGGGGTTGGTGTCCTGATCGGAGGGGAGGGAGGCGAATGCGCCTTGCGAGGCGTGGTAGTGAGCGCCCGCTGGGTGCCGGGGCTCTGTGGCTACGCGCTGTTGCCCGTCATCTTTGCCTCGGCCCTCCCCACCCCCACCCCCGCCCCAGGCAGGGAGTCGTATTCCTTCGGGGAACCCCGAGGCCAAAGAACGAGTTCGGTCGCTCTTAGAGAGGGCGGCGCCGTCTTCGAACCTAGGCCTGGCTCTTCCACGAGTCCTTCGAGCTCGCCCCGGCCTGTGCCTGACCTGCCCAGGTCTTTTGATTATGGCAGCTCGGCCTGTAGCGAGCTTTAGCGAGAGAGTGACAGGCGGACGGGGTGGAGGAGGGCTGCACGCTTGGTGTCAGTGGTTCCCATCTGACCCGCTGCGGTCTTCATCCCGACCCCTGCACCGCCTGTGCCCCTAGTGCTCGTCCCTGTGGCTGCAGCTTTCCTGAGCGATTTCTGCATCATACGCTTGGGAAATCATTTAGCTCCTAGGTGAGTTTTCAGGTAGTTTAGGCCGGTGGTTCCCCCACAAAGGCAGAATCTAAAGAAAGGCCTAAGTGAAACAAGGAGCAAGAGGAAAAGGAGAGCTCTTTCTTTACGTGTATTCGGACTGTCTTTGTATGAAGCAGTCTGGGGGGAAAAAAACACAAACTTTTTGTTAGTGTTTGTAAAGTAGATATCTTTATTCTGCCAGCCCAGGTAGTTCTTGACAAAACTGTGGTGGTATTGATTGCAATTGATAAGGCACAATCACACTCACTTAAGATTACTGATCTAGGCTCTGGGGGCATTTCATAAAACATTCTTGAAAATTGCTTCTTCTTGCAGGTGACGTACAAATGGCTGAGCTATACACTAGGGGTTCATGTTAACCAGGCCAAACAGTAAGTCCAATTTACTACCAATTTTAATCACATAGAGGAGGGTTTTGTTTTGTTTGTTTCTTGTTTTGCTCTTTAGATAGCTCCTAGGATAGAACTAATTTTCTTTTTTTTTCCTGAGTAAATGGAAAAAAACACTTATTTTACTACCTCATATTTTTGTCTCTTTTAGGAGACTGGTAGACTTGATAACAAAGGTGTGGTGTGATCAATTTGCTGGATTCATTTGCATCCTTGGCCTGCTGTGAACATGTTTGTTATTTCAAATTTCTTAAATGAATTAGTTCTTTTTGCATCTAAAATTTATATGTCTGTTATCTTACGTCTTCACCACATTCTCATATGTGGGCCTTAGACCCATCTCCAGATGTTACTGGAGTACTTCATAATGAGGTCAACAGGTGTTCGACGCAAGCTGTGTGACAGGGTGAGCGATTTAAGTGAAACTGGAAAGGGAGTGTTTAGGATGGTGTATGGCCTTGCCTTTCTTCAATTTAGTGCCATGTCACCTTTCCTTGCCTAAATTTGGGATCTAACCCGAGCCCAAAAGAAAAGGTGAGCTTTTGAATTCACTTCCAAGATGTGGATGATGTCTGTGACCCAGGGGAGGAATTAGTGAACTGGCTGAGGATACATATATTGGGTTAAATTCTCATTTTGTTTGTTTGATTCCTAAGGGTGGTCTGAAGTTTCTTCTGGAGTCATAGAAACCTAGAGTCATGAGAACTTCCCACAAGTCTCAGAAAATCCCTGACTTCTAGAATGGGTTGATTTGGTTTTATTGGGTTAAGCACATCTAGGAGTCTAATTTGGGGTGTGATGTTAAAGCTTTCAAAACCCAGAAACTCTTATATAGGGATGGATTTGGATTGATTTTGACTAAAATTGCGTAAGACTAGTTCTGGCCCAAACCCAAGAGCTTCAGTTAACTTTGTCAGTGGATACCTATAAGAGTTATTGTCTGTTACCATTATGGGTATTTAAATAAGAGATGAAGCACCTGTTAACCTGTTGGGGTTTAAGGATGAATAATGACTGGATTCTCTGAAAATGAAATAAAGATGTATGCAATTTTAGTGGAGGTACCCCAATTACTTGTAATTTTTATAGCATTAGCACACTAATTCCTACCTGTGTACCCAACTTTACCTATACCACTCTCTGTCTCAATTGTGATACTCTAGCCATATTTGCTTTGCTTTCCTTCAGTTATGTGAAGTCATTCTCACCACAAGAACCTGTACCTTTCTCTCTGCCTAGATTGCTTTTCTTAGCTTTTTTCACCCTTCAGGTTTCAAACTCTAATTCCATGTTACAACAAGCCTTCCCCAATTCTCTATTCCAGGTATCCTCACCCTTCCCTATTTTTATCATAATACTGTTAATTTAGACTTACTATTTATTTTGAAAGTCAGAGTTACAGAGAGAGGGCGAGATAGAGAGAAAGTGATCTTCCATCTGCTGGTTCATTCCCCAGATGGCTGCCATAGCCAGCATTGGACAAGGCTGAAGCCAGGAACTAGGAGCTTTATCAGGTCTCCCACGTGGGTGGCACGGGCCCAAACACCTGGACCATCTTCCACTGCTTTTCCCAGGCCATTAGCAGGGAGCTGGATCAGAAGTGGAGCTGCAGCTGGGGTACAAACTGGCACCTATATGGGATACCAATGTCACAGACAGTGCCTTTCTCTGCTATGTCACAATACTAGCCCCCTACTGTTAATTTCTTTCATGATTCTTTTTTTTAAATAGATTTATTAAGACATGATTCACGTACTATACAATTTACCCATTTGAAGTATACTGTTCAATGATATTGTATACTTAGTTGTGCAGTCATTACCACAATTGCTTTTTTTTTTAAAGATTTATTTATTTTTTATTTATTTGAAAGGCAGAGTTACAGAAAGAAGATGAGAGACAGAGAGAGATCTTCCATCTGCTGATTCACTCCCCAAATGACCGCAACGGCCAGAGCTGGGCCAGGCCAAAACTAAGAGCTTTATTCATGTCTCCCATGTGGGTACAGGGCCCAAGCACTTAGACCATCATCTGCTGCCTTCCCAGGCTATTATCAGAGAGCTGGATCAGAAATGGAGCAGCCAGGACTCTAACAAGTGCTGATCTGGGATGCTGGCATTGCAGGTGGCAGCTTAACCAACGGTGCCACAGCACCAGTTCCTCAGGCTACATCTTAACTACTGTCAATCACCCTCCCAGTTATCAAGCTAATTTTTATTTTGTTGCTTATTTTTTTTTGTAGCAGGAAGCATATTAGCAAAGTTTAATGAGGAGAATACAGCTGACAGGCCAGGTGGGCATCTCAGCAAAGAACTGAGAGCCCAGCTTGCATTCAGACGAGTTTTTATAGATATGGGCCCACCGTTTCTCCTCCCCACTTCCTCTTCTGGGGTATTGCTGGATGGAGGGCTTTCTCAGCTTGGAATTTGGGAAATTCCTCTCAGTTTAACCAGCAAAATGTTCTTTGCCTTAATAGTCCTCCTGGTGCCAGGTGCAGAAGATTCCCCGAAGCTTCCTCCCCTCCCCCCTGCCTGGGAAGGGCTGGGACCCACCTAGCATGGTTATTGGACTTAGGCAAAACTTTTTTTTAAAGTTTTAATTATTTTGAAATAACTAGATACACACACACATACACACACACACATACACATCTTCCATCCTCTGGTTCACTCCCCAGATGACCACAACAGCCAGTGCTGGACCATGCCAAAGCCAGGAGCCTGGAGCTTCATCTGAGTCTCCCACATGGTTGGTGGGGCACAAATACTTGGGCCATCTTCTGCTGCTTTTTCCAAATCCATTTGTGGGGAACTGGATCAGAAGTGGAGCATCCAGGACTCAAACAGGAGCCCATATGGGATGCTGGTGTTGCAGGCAACAGCATTACCCACCATGCCACAACACCAGCCCCTTGGGCAAAACTTGGTGTCCAAATGCTGGTCTGCTTCCAAGGCCTGCTGCTTCTGCTTCTCATTCCACAGCACAGAATTCCCATTTTTGTTTTTCAGCCCCTCTCGCAATACATAGGCTAATGTTTACCTTCCTACCTAATGTTTCCCTCTCAAAAAAAAGTTACCCATGATCTCACGTGGGTAGAACAGGTGAAGGTCTGTCTTCTGTAGGTTCTTTGGGCTAGTGTATGGGCGGCGTAGAACTGGTATTATTGGTATTGGTTTTCTTCTCTTGCTGTCTGTCCTGTGGTGTTTGGAGGTGGCCTGGGAAAAGAGTGTCCTATGTGATCCAGAGGGCTGGTCACATGGTCCAGCAAGATAGGTTGGGACTCCTGACTCATGATCATCTGGAGTTGGGTGGCTTGTATTTGTGGCTCTTGTTTTCTCCTGGCCAGCTCTGCCAAAAATATGTCCCCAGAAACAGCAGGGTCAGAGGTCCTTGTCTTTGGACAAGAAAAGGAGTTCAGAAGTGAGAGTAACAATATGCATGCTGGCAAAGTTTAATGAAGAGAATATACCTGACAGGCCAGATGAGCATCTCAGCAAAGAAGTAAGCCTCAAACTAATTTTTTTTTAGATTTATTTATTTATTTGAAAGTCAGAGTTACAGAGAGAGAGAAGGAGAGGCAGAGAGAGAGAGAGAGAGAGAGGTCTTCCATCTGCTGGTTCACTCCCCAGTTGGCCGCAACTGCCGGAGCTGTGCCTATCCAAAGCCAGGAGCCAGGAGCTTCCTCCGGGTCTCCCACGTGGGTGCAGGGGCCCAAGGACTTGGGCCATCTTCTGCTGCTTTCCCAGGCCATAGCAGAGAGCCGATTTGGAAGTAGAGCAGCCAGTTCTCCAAGCGGCACCCATATGGGATGCCAGCGCTTCAGGCTGGGGCGTTAACCCCCTGCCACAGCGCTGGCTCCGCTCCCTCAAACTAATTTTTAAATGAACATTGAAATGTGTAAGTAGCGGCTGGAAACAACCATTTTATTCTCATGGATTCTTAATGGTCTGAAATTTGGACATAGAACAGAGGGAATAACTTATAGGTGTTTCCTAACTGGAAAGTCTCAATGACTAGAACCCAGTCATCTGAGTGCATTTTTTTGTACACATCTGGCAGCTGATGCTGGGCATTGGCTAGGATTTTCTATTCCCCCCAGTTCTTTGTATGTTTTTAGCATTACTTTAGACTCATAAAATGGTAAACTTGATAGAGTCTCAACCCTCATTGATTTGAACAAAATAATTTCACATTGTAAAAATGCTGTGGGGGCCAGCATTGTGGCATAGCAGGTGAAGCTGCCACCTGCAGTGGCATCCCATATGGGCACTGGTTCAAGTCCTGGCTGCTCCTCTTCCAATCCAGCTCTCTGCTGTGGCTTGGGAAAGCCGTGGAAGATGGCCCAAGTCCTTGGGCCCCTGCAACCACATGGGAGGACTGGAGGAAGCTCCTGGCTCCTTGCTTTGGATCGGCACAGCTCTGGCCATTTCGGCCAAATGGGGAGTGAACCAGCAGATGGAAGACCTCTCTCTCTCTCTCTGCTTCTCCTTCTCTCTGTGTGTAACTCTGACTTTCAAATAAATAAATAAATCTTTAAAAAAAAAAAAAAAGTTGTGAAAGAATTAGGCTAGGGAAGGCTGTATGGCCATGTACAGTATTTGTCCTGGAAAGAATTGTGTGTGGAATTTGCAAGGTAAATTAATAAAGTGAGAAGCTCTAATCATGTAGGAAGTGTGTGGTTTTTTTGTTTTGTTTTGTTTTGTTTTGTTTTGACAGGCAGAGTTAGTGAGAGAGAGACAGAGAGAAAGGTCTTCCTTCCATTGGTTCACCCCCCAAATGCCTGCCACGGCCGGCGCTGCACTGATCCGAAGCCAGGAGCCAGGTGCTTCCTCCTGGTTTCCCATGCCGGTGCAGGGCCCAAGGACTTTGGGCCATCCTCCACTGCCTTCCCGGGCCACAGCAGAGAGCTAGACTGGAAGAGGAGCAACTGGGACAGAATCCAGTGCCCCAACCGGGACTAGAAACTGGGGTGCCGGCGCTGCAGGCGGAGGATTAGCCTAGTGAGCCGCAGAGCCGGCCGGAAGTGTATCTTTAAAAATCATATATATATATTGTCATTTATATTTAAGAAATTCCATATTGCCGGTAAAATGCTTGACTTGATTAAATCAGAAAATGCATCTAAGAGCTTCAAAAAGTACTCAGAAATTACTTTTTTTTTTTTTTTTTTTTTTTTTGACAGGCAGAGTGGACAGTGAGAGAGAGAGACAGAGAGAAAGGTCTTCCTTTTACCATTGGTTCACCCTCCAATGGCCGCTGCGGCCGGAGCACCACACTGATCCGAAGGCAGGAGCCAGGTGCTTCTCCTGGTCTCCCATGGGGTGCAGGGCCCAAGTACTTGGGCCATCCTCCACTGCACTCCCTGGCCACAGCAGAGAGCTGGCCTGGAAGAGGGGCAACCGGGACAGAATCCGGTGCCCCGACCGGGACTAGAACCCAGTGTGCCGGCGCCGCAAGGCAGAGGATTAGCCAAGTGAGCCGCGGCGCCAGCCAGAAATTACTTTTTAAAGTTTGCTTTGATCTTGTTAATAAAGAGAACAACAGATTTATTTGCAAAGGCATGAAAAACAATCACTGTGGTGATATAGGCAAAGGTCTGAGTTTGGGATAAAAGCCCTACAGTTGGACAGTTAACTTGAGAGTGTCTTTGGTGTGGTACCTGCCTATCATGTCTCCTTCCAGCGTGGTCCTAACTAGTATAAACACACCAACGTGTTCCTGAGTCTGTTACCTTATTTGTCTTTCTAACATAATTGATGCAGTAGAAGGAAACACTATAGAGGCAAGGTGGAGAAATCAACAAAAATACTGAATAGGGTACGTTTTTATTCTTATAGTCTAGTGGGGATGGCACATAAGAAAACTAAATAGAGAATTTTAAGTGCTAAATAATGAGGTTGGGGTAAGTTCTGTTAGAGCTTGGAAGGTAGACAACCTTGCTTGCAGTGGGGGTGAGGGAGGGGGTTGTTAGGGAAGGCGTCACATAGGGGATGATGATAGAGCTTCTGTTTTCATGAGGAAATTGGGTGGATGAGGCCTGAGAAGAGCATTGCAGGCAGAAGGAGGGACGCAGACAAATGAGCCAGGGGTACTGCAGAATGCTTAAAATAGGGGAGTCAGGGAATGTGAGACATATAGGGTGCAGGATAAGAAGGGTCTTACTGCCTTTATTGGGAATTTGAAGTTGGTCCTTCCGGGTGGGGAGCCACTGAAATTTTGCAGACCAGTATTATTGAGCCAGCCACTTTTCAACGTTAATTATCTCAAATTTAACACATGCCAAAACTATCTCCTGATTTCTACCTGTACCACCAGCTTCTGCTGTCCCCCGTCTCCGTGAATGCTGCTTCCTTGAATTGCATAGTCTAGTCATCCTTGCCTCCTCGGTCTCTCACACTTCACAATCAGTCCATTGGCAAATCATGCTTTTCCCTTTAAGGTATACCCAGAATTGATCCACTACCTCCATTGCTGCTGCCCTGATTGAGCCCCCATCATGTTGAGCTTGGTCTCCTCCTTGCTTTCTCTTGCCCTTCCATGGTAAATGTGTTCTGCACACAGCAGTCAAGGATCCCTCTAAAAGATGACGTCATGTTACTTCTCTAAAAATTCTCATGGCTTCCTACAGTGACTGCAGAGCCCTCTGGGTCTGGTTCCTTCTCTGCTTTGCTTCAGCACTGGTTTCCTTTCTGTTCCTTGAACCTTGCTAACAGTCTTGCCTCAGAACTTCTGTGTTTGCTGCTTTCTCTGGAATATTTCCCCCCCAAAAAACCACATTGGTGGCCCTCTCACTTCCTATAGGACTCTGCTCATGAGATCTTCCCTAGTCACTTTATGTAAATTGCAAAACTTCTTATTGTGTACTCTCTGTTTGCTTTAATTTTTTTCATAGACTTACCACCAACCCAGATTGTGCAAGTACATTTACTTATTTATTTTTTTATCTCTATCTTCCAGAATGTAATCTCTAAAAGGGTAGGAACTTTGCTTTGTTCACAGCTGTGTCCCCATGGCATTGAGCATAAAGTAGCCACCCAGAATTTTTATTGACTGAGTGACTTGATTTGTATTTTTAAAACTTCATTCTGGCAACATCATGCACAATGAAAAGTGGGAGGAAGAAGGGGAATTGACATTTGGAATTGAAATGGTCCAGTCAAGAGATTTGAAGGGCATGGAATCAAGAATTACTTGGGAGGGAGAGCTGATGAGACTTGGCAACTCACTGCATAGGGAGGAGTGAAGAATAATGACTCCCAGATTTCTGGCTTAAGTAGTTTGAGCAGATGATGGTGTTGTCAGGGATAGAGGAGACCATGGGGATGAATGAAATAGACCAAGGTGAAGAAGTGGTGGGGAGACTAACCATGTCTAATGCTCCAGGAAGCCCCTCTGACCCAAGCAAGGATGGTGGGTCCCTGTTATACATGGAGTGAAAAGATAGCTAAAGACAGCACCAGCAGTTAAAGAGGAAGGAAGCAGAGAAGTCTGAGGATAACAATGGAGTGGAGACTGTTGGTGGGGTAGCAGGGTTCATGGAAGCTAGGAGGGTTCATTTCAAGAAAGCAATCAGTCGTATAGATTGAGTTTCTCTTGGGATTTTGGCATTTCTAGCCGTCTTTGGCTGGAATCTGACATCTTTTAGAGGCTCAGGAAATGTTTCTTGGTATCTTTTTTGTAGTTGAACTATAAATGACTGAGGGGAGCCAACTTCTGATATTTACTGGATCATAGGGCTAAACATGAATTTAGAGATTTTATTAGAAGCCGCATTATTCCTGTATTTAGTGCTTGGCCTCTCAGGTTAATGTGTAGTCTGAATACTGGGCAGTGGAGTAAGCAGCTAACATTCCACAGTTCCAAAACACTGTTGGATCTAAGTAAACATAAAATTGGAATTTCAGAGCTGGGCATTTGTGATTATGTACAGAGTAGTTCTTAATGTTTTGGAATAATGAACTCTTAGAAACTATTGAAAACCCTGAATCAGCCCCCTCTGAAAGAAGCACACATATGTTTGCTGACACTTTGGGATTTGAGGATTGTAGAGAACCTTGGGAATCTCAGGTTAAGAGAATCACTAATCTTATACAGCCCTGTTTTATACCTCAGGATATTGGGAGGCTTGGAAAAATCAGCTAACATACACAAGAGAACACATAGTAACTTTATTCTTGATTGAGATTTGTGTCCATCGTATGAGTAGCTTTATTATTGATTGAGTTTTGGGTCCATCGTATGAGGAGGTCTTCAAAAAGTTCTTGGAGAATGCATATTATGAAAAAAATGCACGGATTTCAAGGTTTTTTTGCACCAAAATAAACTTACTTTTTTAAAAGATTTATTTATTTATTTATTTGATATAGAAGAGAGAAAGAGAGAGAGAATATCACTCTTCCATCTGCTGGGTTACTCCCCAAATGGCCATAGTGGCTGGGGTTGGGCCAGGCTGAAGCCAGGAGATTCCTCTGGGTCTCCCACATGGGTTCAGGGGCCCAAGTACATGAGCAGCCAGGACTTGAACCAGTGCCCATATGGGCTGCTGGTACCGCAGGCAAAGGCTTAGCCTTCTACTCCGCAGTACTGCCCCAATAAACTTACCTTTTAATTCCATTTTTCCATGAACTTTTTGAAGAGCCCTTCATTGCCATTGTTTTAATAGATTCAGTCCCTTTTGGTCTATTATTAAATTTATTTTCTCTCCTTACTGGGTCACCACCAGTTCAGTATAGATGGCAGTTGAAATCTCCATTTTCTATCTGATGTCCATACCTTTCTAAACTGTCCATAGACTGGGCATAAATTACATTGTTTAGAAATTTGGTGGAGTATCAATTTCATAGTTCTAAGTTTCAAGGTGTAAGTTAAGAGTTGATGAGATAAAAACTCATGTTAATGACTTTCATGTACCTTCTTTTCTTTGGAACAGGATGCTGTATGATTACGTTGAAAGGAAGCGAAAGGAAAATTCAGGAGCCCAGCTGCACGTCACCTACTTGGTATCCGGCAGTCTCATACAGAATGGACATTCTGTAAGTTCTCAGAATCTTAGAGTGAGCTTATATGTCTGAGCAAAGAACAGTGTTATAACTTAACACAAGGGGAGAAAAAGACAAAGATTCATAACACAGCTGTTTTTAAAAGCTGCTTGAAGGAGATGATTATTTTCCATTGTTAGACTGACTCAAACTCTTAGAAGTCTACACTTGATCTTAGCCAAAAGGCCAAAAAGCGATTGAAAAGTCTAATTAATAGTATCTTGGCTGTGATGTAGAAAGTATGTCGTCATTACAGTTTTCTAAGTAACAAGACATTAGGTCATGCTTCTATTATTCCTTATAGCTTTTTCTTCCTCTTGAAGATATATTTGGGACAATAGTAGTTGTCTATTCAAATTTCAAGCCACAAACCCAGGTGTCAGAAACGACATTTTTTAAAAATTGACATTTTAATTTTGGTAAGCTGTGTCTTAAGTGGCTGAGAGATAGTGGGTATTGACAGGGAGCTGAGTGAATGCAGAGACCTGAGCCAGGAATAACTTCATTCTGCATTATCTTTTTATAGTCCTCTCTAGTATCTGATCATCCATCAGCACAGGTCACTGCTACATTTTCACCATCCCAACCACAAAGCTGTCTTGGGCCTGCTGACTTTCTCTTAGCTTCCACATCCTTTTGGGCCCAGGGATCATTCTGTTACTTTCATTCTTTGGTGGGCACCAGAAGCTCCCTCTGTTGAGATATTTTGTTCCCTTTTCTTACGCTGACAAAGCCCTGTGAACTTTAAAAATTCCCCTTCTGGTTTCTTTCCTGGAGGAAGGCATACGTCCTGTGTTTTCATTTCCTCAAGCCTCCTATCTTTTGCTTCTGCCACCATCAGTCCCATCGGACTTGGCTCAAGGATCAGGATCTCTCTTCAGATAGCCACTAATTTAAATTTTCTGCTTCCTTTTTTTTTTTTCTCAAAAACTTATTTGCTAAAATGCTCACTGGATTTGTTTTTTAGCAATGGAGTCCCAAACATGTGGAATTTAAAACTGGAATGTCAATGTAGTAATTTACAAGGAGAAACAAAACTGCCAGTGGGATCAGATCCAAACATTTGCTAGCCAGAATATTCTTTTCCTGGTTGACAAGCTATTTGGTAACGCAGAGAATAAGATACAATCATACATTGGTTAACACTGAGATATGTTCTGAGAAATGTGTTAGGTATTTTTGTCATTGTGCAGACATCACAGAGTGTACTTACACAGACCTGAATGGTATGGCCTGCTACACACCCAGGAAGTAGTCTGTTGCTCCTAGGCCACAAACCTGTATAATATGTTACTGTGCTAAATACTGCAGACAGTTATAATACAGTGGTAACTACTTGTGTACAGTTATAATACAGTGGTAACTACTTGTGTATCTAAACATAGAAAGGGTACAGTCAAAATACAGTATAAAAGGGTTTTAAAAATGATTTACTTTTAGAGGACACTTACTATGAAAGGAGCTAGCAGGAGTGGACGTTGCAATGGGTGAGTCAGTGAGTGGTGAGTGAGTGTAAAAGATGACGAATTGCTGTCACTGCTGTAGGCTTTATCAACCTTGTATCCTCAAATAACACTGCATTTATGAAAGCATATTTTATTTCAGTAATTAACCTTAACTTACTGTAACCTTTTTTACTTTTTTTTAAGTCAGAGTTACAGAGAGAGAGAAAGAGAAGCAGAGAGAGAAAGAGAGAGAGAGAGAGGGAGGGAGAGAGGTCTTCTATCCATTGGTTCACTCCCCAATTGACCGCAATGGCCAGAGCTGAGCCGATCCGAAGCCAGGAACCAGGAGCTTCCTCCAGGTCTCCCACGCAGGTGCAGGGGCCCAAGGACTTGGGCCATCTTCTACTGCTTTCCCAGGCTATAGTGGAGAGCTGGATTGGAAGTGGAGCAACCGGGACTCGAACCAGCACCCATATGGGATTCCAGCACTGCAGGCGGCAGCTTTACCCACTACGCCACAGTGCCAGCCCGTAACCTTTTTACTTTATAAGCTTTTAAATTTTTAAGCTTTTTGACTGGTAATAACACTTAGCTTAAAGTGCATCATACAGCTACATAAAAATATTTTCTTTACATTCTTTTCTAACTTTTTTGTTACAAATTCAGACAAACATACAGATTAGCCCATGCTTACACAGGATCAGGACCATCGATATTACTGTCTCTTCCACCTCCACATCTTGTCCCACTGGAAAGTCTTCAGGGACAAAAACATGCATGGAGCTGTCATCTCCTAGGAAAACAGTGCCTTCCCGATGCTTTCAGATGGACCTGCCTGGGGCCTTTCCTTTTGAGAGGGTGTCACTCATTTCACAAATGTGTCCATGGTGGTTTACTTGATTTATTTATTTTTTCATCAAAGATTTGCTTGTAAGTAGATAATGTACCCTGAACATTCCTCTCTATAATGAATACCTTTTGGTATTGGGGTCCATGTTTTTGAACTTTTCAAGGAGCTTGTTGAGATCTGCATAAGCCTCTGCTAACCTTTCACTGAATTTTCTTGGAGGTTCTTTTTATTCTGCAGTTTCCTTTTCTTGTTCCTGCAGCTCTGTCTTTACTAGATGATAGGAAATTTTATTTATTTATTTATTTTAAGAGATGGGAGACAGCTCCCATCCACTGGTTCACCTAGCATGTCCACAATGACCAGGATTCTGCAACTGGGAACTCATTCCAGGTCTCTTAACATGAGTGACAGGAACCCAACTACTTGAACCATCACCTCTATCTCCTAGGATCCATATAGCAAGAAACTGGAATTAGGGGCTAGAACTAGGGAATGAACCCAGGCACTCTGTTCTGGCCAGGTGTCCTAACCAGTGACTTTACTGCTAGGCCAACACCTGCCCAGTGATAGTAATTATTTTTTTTCTCTTAGATTTATTATTATTTTTTAGGTTTATTTGAAAAGCAGAGTGACAGAAAGAGATATCTTATATCTGTTGGTTCATTCCCTGAGAGAGAGATCTAGTATCTGTTGGTTCACTCCTTAAATAGCTGCAACAACAGGGGCTTGGCCAGACTGAAGCCAAGGTCTAGGACTCCTTTTGGGTCTCTGACATGGCGGCAGGGATTCAAGCACTTGAGTGGGATTGCTGTAGCTGAAATAGGTGTGAGGATTTTGGAGCCCTAGACTTGCCCTCCTAACAGCCTCACATGGGAAGCTCTGGAGCCCTGGCCAAGTAAGGATGCTTACCTATGTTTTTTTCCTTAATGAGGCACTCCTACAGAAAGATGAATTATTTTGCTTGTGTTTTAAATTTGTATTTATCCATTTGAGAGACAGAAACAGAGAGGACGAGCTGCCACCTGCTGGCTCACTCTCCAGTTGCCTACAATATCAGAGCTGAGCCAGAGCCAACCTTGGGAGCCAGGAACACAATCCACATCCCCTTTGTTGGTGACAGGAACCCATTTACTTGAGCCGTCGCCGATGCCTGCCAGGATCTGCATTAGTAGGAAGCTGGAGTCAGCAGCTGGAGTCAGTTGTTAAACCCACATACGCTGATGTGGGACATGGGTGTTTTATCCAGCACTTTAACTACAAGATTAAATGCCTGCTCTGTGTAAAGTAAATTTTTAAGCATATTAGCGAGTTTTGTTCTTTGGATTCTTCTAGTTTTTTCTTAAAGATGTGTTTCTGGGAAGAAGGTGTTAAAGGCTTCGTATGGATTTTTTTAAATATAAATTTTTATTTTTCCAATTACCGTGTTCATTATAAAAAGTGTTTAACAATACCCAGAAAGTACAAAGCCTCTTTCTAATCTCATCATGGAGTTTATTCCAGAGAATTATTTGAAAATTTCGAGGTAATGTTTGTGTGATTCTTGACCTGACCCATCTTTTATCAGTTCCCCATTAGCTTTCTATCTGAAGATGTTACTGATACTGGTTTTATAATGTGTCAATCATTAATTTACCAGAGGTTACAAAATAATCACTTTTTTTTGCTGGCTTTTTTTTTTTTTTAAGATTTATTTATTTATTTGAAAGTCAGAGTTACACAGAGAGAAGGAAAGGCAGAGAAAGGTCTTCCATATGCTGGTTCACTCCCCAGTTGGCCTCAGCAGTCAGAGCTGGGCCGATCTGGAGCCAGGAGCTTCTTCCAAGTCTCCCATGTGGGTGCAGGGGCCCAAAGACTTGGGCCATCTTCTACTGCTTTCCCAGGCCATAGCAGGGAGTTGGATTGGAAGTGGAGCAGCCGGGACTTGAACTGGCACCCATGTGGGATGCCAGCACTGCAGGCGGCGGCTTTACCTGCTGTGCCACAGCGCTGGCCCTCTGCTGGCTTTTTTTTTTTTTTTTTTTTTTTTTTTTATGAAGAACTTTGACCAGCCATATTTTCCCCTTAATTACTAAAAATCTCAGGGCTGACCCAACAGCCTTGGGGTTTGTAGATGCAGTCTTACTCTTGTGTCCACCTTCCCAGGAGCCCACTGAATCAGAGCCCCATTCTGATTCATATTATTCTAACACCTGCAAGGTGGTATTTCCAGTCTGTTGTGTTTGTACATTTTCCATAACTCCCCAAGGCAGCATTTAGCTACCTTCTGTGCTAAACTTTTCCTAAGGTACAAATTACTGTTTTTAGATCTGTTACTAAAAAAGAGTGAGTAGTTCCTAATGCTCATTCTCACAAGCTTTGTAATTTTTAGTGTTCAGTTTTACAGAACATGACATATAGAAATGCCCATTTTAAGAAAAAACGTGGCCGGTGCCGCGGCTCACTAGGCTAATCCTCCACCTTGCGGTGCCGGCACACCGGGTTCTAGTCCCGGTCGGGCGCCAGATTCTGTCCCGGTTGCCCCTCTTCTAGGCCAGCTCTCTGCGGTGGACCGGGAAGTCAGTGGAGGATGGCCCAAGTGCTTGGGCCCTGCACCCCATGGGAGACCAGGATAAATGCCTGGCTCCTGCCATGGATCAGCGCGGTGCGCCGGCTGCGGCGGCCATTGGAGGGTAAACCAACGGCAAAAGGAAGACCTTTCT